TGTGTAGGCGCGGTGGGCGTGGCTGTTGATGTTCCGTCAGATGTGTCTGTGTGAGTGTGATATCACGTTTGCTTTGGCTGCACCTCAGTCTCTAGATCGACATCGTGGTCGTTGCTTTGGTTGACAATCAGATCCGGGGGCTCCTTGTTGTCGCGCTCCTTCGCCTCCGACGTTTGCTGTGCTTTCTCGTAGTCGTTGGACGGCTTACGACAGACCCAGAATAAGCTTTGATATTCGCTTTGCTTCATCGACTGAGGATTCTGTGCGTATTTGGTGCGTATGCCACTGCGCGAGCTCAATATGTCGAATCCGATGCTCTCCATAATGATGATCAGGTCCTCGTACGTTGGCTCAATGCTGTTCTGGCCATTGATGTCGCTGTAGTGGTAGAGCAGCGGTCCCAGATTCACCCAAATGCCGCCAGGCACTAGAATCCTGCAGGGAGAAATAGAAAAAAACGTCAGTAGGGGTTTTTATTTTAAAATCAATTACAATCCAAAACAAGTAAGAAAGCTCTAGTCGAGACTGCTCGACTACGAGATCCCCTGAACCCTTGGAGCAATAGATATTTCAATACTTTTTCGCGACTTTCAGCTTACACAAGAAACACGCACACACACACACACACACACACGTACGCAAACGCAGGCATACATACACACACACGCATACATACACAAACGCATACACACACACACATACACACACACATACACACACACATACACAAACACATACACACACAAGCAACCACGCATAAACACGCATGGGCTGCAGTGTGCGCTTACTATGAGAACTTAATTGTTAAATAACTTTTTTTATGGACGTACGATCTTCATGAAACTTTTAGATTATGATTATAACATGAATATGCATGTAATTGCCAAAGCACAAGTCTCTAGTATTTGAAATACGCTTTTTACAAAAGTGAGGGTGAGGGGGTGAATTTAGAGGTGGGGGGTAAATTTTAACAAAAACCGAAATTGTATAAATTGCATACATAAAAAATTTGGAGACTCTAGCAATAAAGGTGTAGAAGATATAGTTTTATAACTGGGTTTCGATAAGGTTTTTTATCGATAAAAAAAAGATCGAGATGAGTTATCGATTTTTAATGATAAACTTGATATGCGCGCTGTAATTACGGACATTTAAAAAAAAATTTGAAGTCTCTAGCTCTTATATCTTCTGAAATCGACGCGTTCATACATACGGACAGACGGACAGACAGACGGACAGGGCCAAATCAACTCAGCTCGTCACCCTGATCAAGAATATATATACTTTGTGGGGTCTGCCACGCCTCCTTCTCCCTGTTACATACATTTCAACAAAACCATTATACCCTGATTTCCCATTGAAAATGGGTTCAGGGTATAAAAAGTTATAAGCAAAGATCTAGCTGAACTTTATCAAAATCGATATAATAAAGCTCGTATCAATAGCTTTCACATTTTCAAGCTATAAGCTTATACTTAGAATCGATTATTATCGTAAGTTATACAAAAGGGGAAAAATTTGCTCTATTTATGGTATATGTCTCATGCCACGAGTTTCTACGGGAGAGCAGAAGAATCAATCGAGTGATTTTGAGAAATTGAGTTAGATCTTTAGATCAACTTAATCGAATTCATTGTATTGTTTCGACAAATTTGCGGAACTGACGAATCAAACGATTAGTCAATCAATCGGGCCCGCTGTTCAAACTTGCAGACCTTTGTTAAACCCTTGAAAATTTCAGCAACGGATCATCAACTCACCTGTAAATTGTGCGTACAAAATCGATAACATTGTTGGCACAATCGATAAAGAAACATGTTGCCACACAATTGTATGCATTCGGCGATTTATAGACCTCCAGAAAATCTCCGGCCGCCATTTCGATGTTGCCCTTGGGAGGATTTCTGACCGGGCAGACGTCGGGGAAGCGCACAGAGGCCACCTGATCGGCGCGTCGCATATTGTTCACGTACTGATGCACCCAGGGATAGAGCACGTGCTTGTTCTCGTAGTCGCACAGATTGAGCACGAAATTGGATGCGATCAGCATGAAGTAGGAGAACTCGTTGCCCTCGCAGGCGTAGCCACGGCAGGCCAGCTCATAGGTGAGCCTGCCCAGGCCAGCGCCAGGCACCAGGATCTTAATCTCATTGAGTTTACTGTAAGGAAGAGAAAGAGTTGATGAGATGTATAAATTAGAGAAGTATCAGACAATCTAGTATTACTATTATTGTAGAGGGCATATAAGTTTTGTGCAAATGTTTGTAATAGAGAGTGAAAGACGGATCAGAAACTTCAGAATAACAAGTCGAGTCAATCTAGACCTTTGTTTTCTTCTGCCACGCCTTTATCTGCCTGTTACATGCATTTCCACAACACCAATATACCATGCATTCCCATTTTAAATGGGTTTCCCATACAAAATAAACGAGCCTGGTATGGAATCTATGAAAGTTCAAGCTGACTTAAACAGTTAACATTTCCTATATATGTATATGTAAATCATATGTATCATCTACAATTATCATAGAGAATACTCACTAATCGGATGGCTTGTAATACTCCTCGATGCTGTCGATGATCGGCTTGTAGGATTGCTCACGTTCTATGGCACATTCGGCGCTCCAGTCGCGTGCGATCAGCTTCAATGTGGATTGGGCCTTTAAAATTTTTAGAGGTTCAACATCAACATCATCAGCAACAACAACATCATCATCATGACCATCAACAAGAAAATTAGTCTAAGATATAGATAGATTTTGTTGTGTACAGTTTATCGTTTATTTCTTTAATAAAAACCAAAAATATGCAAATTGTCAATCAATGCGATTGGTTAGGCTCTGAAGCTCTCTGATGGACGTATTAAAGAGGGGGAGATATCATATCATATATATTTATATATCTATGTATATTATGCATGTCTTGCTATGATTCAGAATAGTTAATCAAGTATGATAATCTTATCAGATCTAGTCTATTTCAATAGACAACTCTTAGTTCGAATTAAATTAGCGAACTATTTACATATAAAAATATACGAAGCTGAGGATAATGATGGATCTACCTATGGATCTATCTGTCTATATGTGCGTGTGAAAATATTTATATTTATAGATAATCTGATCGATAAGTAATATTTATCAAATAGGAAATACGGTTCATTACAAATGTTGAGTATCGATAATTATCGATTACCACAATACAGTCATTTCTGTTTGAGAGTTCCCTACTAAGACAATATATAACAATCTTCTGTTAAAAACATAAATCTATAATTAATTTGAATTGATTCCCTATCCTTGTAATATGTATGTATGTATACATAGCCTAAAGACCTTTAATAGAATAACCTTAAAACCTTGCCTAATTGGATGGTTTGAATCTATTTTTGTACCACTGTGCATAGGCGGAAGAAAAGTTGATATAGATATGTATGCAAGCACATAAGCTATAGATTTTCGAACAACACTTACTTGATCCATGTCACCATGTCGCACATGCTCGGGCGCCTCATCCAGCTCTATGTCCGTGTCGCCATCGCTTGTGGGATAGAGAACGCGATCGCGCAAGATCTCACAGATCACAGATTGATTGCAGTCGATGCAGCCCCGCACGTTGTCCAAATGTGAACGATATTTGCTGAGCAGGCGCTGATCTTCAGCGGACAAGCTGTTGAGGTAAGCTTCCGTTTTGTTAACCCTTATGTAGGCATAACGTCTAGTTTGTGATGTGTGTGGGAATAAAGTCAATGATTAGAGCAGATGTTCTACATACACATGTAAGCACACACACACACACTCACACAAGTACGTTGGCACATGTTAAACCGCTTAAATTGATTTTCGTTATCAGCTGTTGAACATGCACATTCATGCACACTTCTACCCAAGCCCTGAGTGTGTGTACATGTGTGTGTGAGCGGGTAATTTGCATTGGCACTTTGGGCATTTATACCGTTTGTTTACAATTGCATGAAGACCCACCTGTAGTACTGAAAGGCATTCTGCACTTTCTGTATGTGGCGCCGTTCCTCCTCGTCCTCTTTGGCCGTAAATGCTAGCGCCTGATCCTCATGCATTTTGGGATGCATGGGAAAGGGCAGCGATGGCACCATGTCGCTCATGGCCACAAAAATATATGGTAAATGAACAAATTTATAAGCGCTTAAATACCAATAAGTACTTAAGGCAACTTATCGATACTTTATATGCAAGCTATCGAGCAACTAGTGTTGATCAACGTCTATCGTGTCATTGCATTGCACTGGAACTATCGATGCTGCAATAAGCAATCGCCGGTTATAGATGAATTTTAAAAATCTCTCAATTGCACAAAAATTTATATCATTCATTAAAAATTAAAAAAAAGAAACGATTTGAAAAACATGCCTGTTATAAATTTATTACGTGCTTCACACATATGTAACAAAATATTTTTGTTTTCAATAAATAGTACATTTCAGACAGAATAAACCAGATATCAATCATTTCTTTTGTATTTTAGTTTTTTGATTAGGCGCAATGCGCAAGCATTCCAATCAAAACCGCATCAACGAAATTATTTAGAATAAATATGTTTATAAGGAATAGTCATTTGTACAAGCAATTGTCAATTGTGATTGGAAGGGAACTTGGATGATGCCATTTGTTGAGGTTTGCTGTCTTTTATCATGATTGATATCTATATATACACATTTATGTGTATATATATTCACATAATTTAAGTGTATAAATGTATATGTATATATACCCATACATATATATATCCAGGTGTATACGTGTATGCGTATATATACACATATAAATTGATATATACACACATATACTTAAGCATATGTGTATATGTACATACTTGTAGTATTTGTATTAATTATAGCTATTGCTTACACTTACATAATTAGAATAGCTTGTGTTAAATAATTGGTAAGTGCTTGCTTGTACAAAGTTAAGTAATTAACAACGCTTTTGACCACAGGAGTATTTTGAGTTGCGATATATGTGTATATCTGTGTAAAAAAAAAAAAACAAAAAATATATCCCAGTTTTTAGTTTTCAGCTGCCGATGGCGATGCTGGTGGCTGCTCAACATCTTCTAAGACCAGCTGAACGAGCGCTGCTGCAGGCTCCTTCTCACTATCACGTTCTCGCTCTGTCTCCCGTCCCAGCTCCTTTTCCCTCTCTTTCTCGCGCTGCTGTTTTGGTGGAGATAGTGATCTAGGGGAGAGATGTGATAGCTCAGCCATCAGTGTGCTGGTTGTTGGCGTTGATGGCGTTGTCGTTGCGGAGCCTGTGGCCGATGTGGACAGATTGTCAAAAGATTCGCAATGCAAGTCCATGCCGCTTGACAGATTTGTAGCGGAGGAATTGGTGTTGACTGTAGAAATGCGTGACCAGTGTGTCATGCTATTTGGACTGGCAGCTGTTAGGGTGACCGACAAAGACAACGCCGCAGCCGCACGTGACGTACTCGCAATGTCATCGTCTGCTGTTAATTGCTGCTCGAAGGCTTCCGCACGTTCGCGCTCCTTTTCCTGTTCGGCTATCTTTTTCAAAAAGCTCTTGTCCTGACTGGGGCATTCCAGGTGCACACAATGGAATATCTGTGAAGTATACATTCATTAATCTATACCTTAAGTATTCTCAACTTTCTTTGGACGCGCCTCATTTGCCGTATTGCGAGTGCCCACGATTCGTATGAAGACAATGGGTCGTGGTGTGAAATGAAAGTTTTGCCAGGAGCGCGCCTTCTCGTTCCGCTTATCGACGACCATTTGCCAATTCTTGCGATTCGTTGATGTCTCAATGTAGAAACTGTAGGTACGATCATCACAATCCCACAACAGCAAACGCATCGAACCGATATAATATGGTTGGCCCAGACGCACAACAATCTCGCCGCTGCCCAGCTGATGGCATGTATAGCCCGAGTCCCAATCGTAGCGCGAGAAGTCGCCGTTAATCAATGCATTGCGTGTGCGGCTGACTCCGTCGGTGACAATGGCGCTCATATCAATGGTGGCCACATTCGCCTTGGGCGCAACAAAGCCGTCAACGATTTTGGGGAAATTCGTTGTGTGCATGGCCTCTAAGCCAACCACATGGAATACCTGAAATCCAATTGTAACGAGATTTCAATGGCAAGCAATGCAACAAGAACAGCTCACCCGATTCACTGTATTCTGTGTGCCCACAATACGTATGTAGCGCAATGGACGTGCCTCAAAGTATAGAAACTGCCAGGAACGGCAATGGTATTCACTGTAATCAATGACGCGTTCCCAGTGCTGTTGATTACCGGACACCTCTACAAAGTAGGAGTAAGCACGGCTATCGCGATCCCAGAGCAGCATGCGTATATGATTGATCATGCACATGGTGCCCAGTTCAACAACAATGCCCGTATCAGTGCTATCCGTGATGCAGTGGCGTGTATAACCGTGCTCCATATCATACGAGGTAACGTCGCCATCCAACAAAGATGAGCGGCATTCGCCGTGGATACAATGTGCTGAAAATTTGGCTGTAGCCACATTCTCCTCCGGCCAGAGTGCTGCACGATAGGGCAATGTCTTGGAGGTGCTCAGCTCGTCGATGGCATCCAGAATTTTATCTGGATCCAAAATTCCAGATGGACGGACAACTTGTAGCAAATGCTCCAGATTCATGAGTGGCAGCCGAACCAAAGAGACAACCGTTTTGATATCAATATTCGGATTATAGCGACTCCATTTCCAGACGGCTAAAAATATTTGCACCTCCGGCGCAAAGAAGCAATCACGACGCAGTATTTCCTCCAACGATTCCTATGGGAAATTTTGTATTAGATAGCGAGTGTCAATTGTTGCTGCTTGTCGCTCACCTTTGAGAGCATTTTGAAGGTATCGTGCTGCAGTAGATCGACGGCATTGCGATCCATGAACATGAGACAGACCTGTGTGAGTTCCTCGAGATTATAGAGCCGTGCTGCATCCAAAATCATGCAGACATTGTTTAAAGACAAATATCTACGTAGATATTTGGATATGGCCATTTCCAGATCCTGAAAACCGTACTGATTGGCCATGCCTAACACACCGATGATCGCGTCCTCATCCAAGCTGGATAACGACAGAGTGCCGGAGTAGATGTAACGCAATAGCACTTTAAACGGCTCCAGCGGCACTTCCATAGTGATTTGTCGCTGTGTCGCCTCCGACATGCCTCCATAGAGTAGGGCACGAAAATAATCGCTTCGTGCTGCCAATATGGCTCTATGTGCCGGCAACTGTTGTTCCTCCACAAGGAATTCGACGTCGGCATAACGTTCGTTCATACAGAGCCGGGCTATATCTGCTGAGAAACGGTCGCCCAGATCTATTTCATCTGTGTACTCCGTTATTGTGGTGCTATCTGTACTGTTGTTGTCATTGGCCAGTGCTGCAATACTATTGCATCCGATTCCACCATGCATTTTGTGATGTCCCTGGCTGCTCATTCTTGTATAACTATATAAATTTTGTTGTTGTGTGTGTGCGAATGTGTACGCGTGTGTGTGTTTGTATACGTGTGTATATATATTTAGGTATATATATGTGTGTGTATGTCTGTATGTGTGTGTGGATGCTGATTTTCTTTTCTTTTTAGTTTGTTTATGTATTAATAAACTACTAATTAATTACGGCGAATTTATAAGAAAATTAATAGCTTAGTTAAAATGAGCTGTGGATTGATTATATTGAATACCTACTTTGTACTATTGTTTGCTTGTTTAATTTTTGGCAAGAGCTTGCAATTGCGGCGACTGTGCTTAACAAATGATTCTTCCTTTCTTGCTTCTGTGTGTGGGTTTATTTGTTCGTTTTTATTTTTTTGGTACTCGTTGGGTACCGTTATTTTATTGTTTGACCATGCACAGTACTCTTTGGCATCTGTATTTTCCCGAAGCAGGCAAGCGTCTAATTGTAAGATAAGTACGTGCAAGGATTCTGGCTGCTTTGTTAATCCAATTATGTTGTCGCAATCTGTCAATGTTTTCTAGTTGCAAGAATTAATAAGTTTGAGATGAGTGTAAGCTCATTTACTACTTATCGGAGGCTAGCTATCGATGATAATGAACCAGCCGGTAACATCGCTTAAGTTGCTGATACTTACAGTTAAATAAACGAAGTTAAAAATATAGTAATGCGTTTGTTTGAATATTAACTTTATCTGATTTTTATGCAATTGCAGATAATAAGTAAATTATAATGTCGTAGTGATACTAATTAACTACGAAATTATATAAATTTGTCATGAGCTAGTAGTCGATTACAAAAGGCTCGAATAATCATCGACTCAGCGCTAAGAGTGTCGATTACAAAACAGCTGTTAAAGGCAAAGCCGCCTATTAGCAGAGTGCCATCACTAGCATAATTTCTAAGGTGTTTGTTTTTTTTCGAATTATAAGCCGCATTAGGTTAATTTCGTAGTTGATATGGTGAAAGTAAGCAAGGCGCGCAGCAAGGAGCGTGCCGCGCGCAGCGATAATGAAGTGCACTCCAACAGCAACGATGACGACACCAAAAACAAGTCTGCAAAAGCAAAGACCATTAAGAAGCGTGGGGATGCGGCAAGCCGGAAAAAGAGCAAAACGCGTAAGCAGAGAACAACGCGCGATAGCTCTAGCTCGAGTTCCTCAGACAGCAGCGAAAGCAGCAGTAGTAACAGTGGCAGCAGCAGCAGCAGCAGTAGTAGTAGCAGCGACTCCTCCAAATCCTCCCATGACAACAAACGCGCCAAAAAATCAAAGCTGAGCAAAGACGCAAAGGAGAAACAGCCGCAACAACAACAACAGCAGCCGCAACGAGAGCCCGTCATACTGGAGAATAAAGTGCAAGAGCAGCGTTCTAAATGGGATAGTCCAGACCGTCATAGTTCCAGCAAAAACATAAACAAGAGCCGCAAACGTAGTCGCAGTCGCAGTCGCGATTGTGAGCGTGAGCGAGAGCGCGTGCGCGAAAAGGACAGAGATAGGGAAAGAGAGCGAGATAGGGAGCGCGATAGAGAACGAGATCGTGAGCGTGAGAATCAAATGCGACGCGGTCGTGAGAGGGAACGCGACAGAGAGCGGGGACGAGATCGAGAGCGCAGCAAGGATCGCCGCCAGCAGCCGCAGCAGCGAATGCGTAGTAATGAGCGAAGGGGAGATCGACCACGTCGCTCGTCCGTCGATGGACGTCGGTAAGTAAATTAGTTTTATTGCTATAGTGTCGATTCTCCAAGCTTGACTTCTGTCCATTGCAGTCGCAGCAGGAGTCACAGTCGCAGTCGTAGTCCCCGGGATCGTGGCTACAGAGGCGGCGCAGGTGGACCACGGCGCCAACAACAACGACCACGCAATGATAATCGCAATCGTGACGACGAGCATTTCGAATGGGGCAAGCCGAGCGACAAGGACAAGCCGTCGGCATCCAATGAAGCCGAAAGCCTCGAGAAGGAGAAACCCAATTTCGGACTGAGCGGTGCCCTGACTGAAGATACGAACAAAGTGAACGGCGTTGTGGTTAAATACTCAGAACCACCCGAGGCACGTAAACCGAAGCGTCTGTGGCGTCTATATCCATTCAAGGGGGAAACGGCGCTGCCCACACTACACATACACAGGCAAAGCTGTTTTCTGGTGGGACGCGATCGCAAGGTCGTCGATCTGGCTGTCGATCATCCCAGCTGCAGCAAACAGCATGCGGCTCTGCAATATCGCCTGGTGCCCTTCGAGCGCGACGACGGCAGCACGGGTAAACGCGTGCGCCTCTATCTGATTGACCTGGACTCGGCAAACGGCACATTTCTCAACAATAAGAAAATCGATTCACGCAAATACTATGAGCTGATGGAGAAGGATGTCATCAAGTTTGGCTTTAGCTCGCGGGAATATGTGCTGTTGCACGAGAACAGCAAGGAGGACCAGGAGGATGATGATGTGCATATCAAGGACGAGCCGCTAGATTCAGCTGCCGAACAGACGACTACACAAATCTGAAAGAGAAGAGCAACTACAATGATTGCTTGCTGGCTCTCTCTCTCTCTCTCTCTCTTTCTCTCTGTGTCTGTCTGTCTGTCTTTATGTTCACTCCGTTCTTAAACTAAGTTCATTTGTACACAAAACAAACAATTAATTGAAAAAACATACATATATTCTAAATAATTTGTTGGCCTATTTACACACACACACACACACACATTCAAAATTGTCTATATTATCCACTCTTTGTGTTTTATCCAGTTTTATTTTATTTTATATATTGTTATGCATGCGGCACGTTTTAGCGTGCGCTCAACTGCCAACATTGAAATACAAGCAACAATATTACTTCCTCATCAAAATGCACAACAGTTTTGTATTTTAAATGCTGCCACTCGAGTGACTCTCCAAATAGTCCGAAATGCGCGCGCGTGCCATCATTATCATTTTTAGCATCTGCTGCAGCTGCTGTTGCAGCGATCAATCCTTGGTTTCTGCTGCTAGGCTGCGACGCCAGGTGGTGCAGCCGGTGTGGCTAATGCGGCCCGATTTGCTGCCCTCTGCGCAGGCGGCCAAGGTGAATGTGACGCCGCAAAAGCTGGAGGAAGTTGCTGCCCTGCGGGCCACCATTCAAAAGGCGGTCAACGATGGCACCTACGTGGTGGCCGCTAGTCCACAACAGGTGAGTTGGGCTGCCAATGAATGTTAAGATTCAGCATAGTAGATTTAACAGAAAGTTAACATTTTTACTTGACTTAGAGTTGAATTTCTTGAGGGTTTAGATTTTAGGTTTTTTTTTTTAAATGCTGATTAAAATTTTAACATTTAGAATTGACTTTCATTATCTTACAATAAACATTACAGAGAGCTCAGACCTGTTTCTTTCTTTTAGCTGCCTGTGTAAGCTTTATACTTCATTTCACATTTAGATTTAAATTTCTGTTACTTTCTCTTAAACCTTAGAATTACCTTGAGATTAAATTTCAATTCTGTTAACTTTATTGAACTTTAACATGACTGAGGGCTTGATTCAGTTTCAGAATTCAATTTAGTTAACTGCCTGTTAAAGTTTGACATGACTTAGAGCTCTGATTTGTGTTCTTGTTAACGCTGTTAAATTTGAGCCAGCTGTCACTTACTTACCTTTAGCTGTGCTCAATATCCGATAGCATTAGACACGACATCTGAAAGGCTAAAAAAAGTTTGAATGCAAAAATGTACGAAATATACCTTATTAAATGCAAATTGTTTTACGACTTAGCGGGACTGGCTGTCAAATATAACATGTGTTCGAAGTAATGCTATGAAAATTAACATGAACTTTGCTAGGAAGACTAGACTAGACTTCGATTTAGTATTAGTTTAATTTTAAAGATTAAGATGTGATTCAAATTTTTGGCAAATTTTCAGTTCATATCAAGTTTGGGTCAACCCACAAATCCTCTAGCAGCTGGAGCACAATTTCCAATGCCTGTGCTGCCAGCTTTTCCGACTTGGCTGCGACCGGGTAAGTTAATTAACTTCGTTTTCAATGCCTGTTATCAAGTTTATTATATGCTTCAGTTATAATAAATATATATTTATATATGTATGCATTTTTCTCATAGGTTAGGCATGCAGTTCGATATATCCGAGGGTCTGCGCGGTTCGTTGCGATCGTTAGCGATCGAAGAGACGGGGCAGCTTTAAAAGACGACGCGACTTGAGAAACTGGAAAAAGTCGAAGAAGAAGAGGATAATAAAAAAATGCCAAAATCAAATGCAATTTCTTTGGATTTTTATTCGAAAAAAAAAAAGAAAAAAAATAATAATAAAAATTAATAATGTAATAATATACATATATGTATAAACTATGTAGCATATGAAATTTGTAATTATTAAACAATTTCCAACAGTTTAATTTTTGTTTTGCTTTGGGTGTGTGTTATTTATAGGGTATACATGGGGTATATATATGTGTATAGATCGCTGTACAAAATCTCTTTAAACATTAATTCTTCTCTAGCACTAAACAAAAATGCTCTAAAATACATATACACACACATACACATACACATGTGTGTGTATATATGTATCATATATCATATATCATATATTATATCAAAGATACTTAGACGCACGTATAGCCTGTTTACTGCAAATCAAGAGGTATACATTAGTTTCTGTGGAACTATAACTAGGCTTCTCTCTTTCATTTCATTTGAAACACATATATAGAGCTATATATATATATAGAGCTATATCTATATATCTCTATACATATCATGTGTATATCAACTTGTTGCATAAAAGTTTACATTGATTTATTATTTCGTTTTTGTTTTTTTTTCAATATTTATTTTGTTCCCTTTTGCAATGAAAACCGACTTTAACATTCAACAAACACAAATGAGAAAAAATCTAATTAAAAAAAAAAGCTAACATCTGGCTAGCCGATGCCGAAATATACTTACAGAGAGCATTACGCTAAGTTAGAAATTATAATTATAATAATCAAAAAAAAAAAAAAAAAAAAAAATCCTAATACTATTTTATATTTAAGCAAGTTTGAGTTCAATTTTTTGCTATATTCTATATGTTCTATTCTTTTTTGTTGGTCCACTTTCTCTATAGAAAGCCCGAAATTGTTGTTCACTTTTGCTTTGGTCTGGTTGGGCGTGTGATCTAGTAATACTAGAATTGGTCTATTTGGTCTATTGCTTCGATGTATGTGGCAACTCTGGCAAGAGGAAACTGGTAGCAACTGTACCAAAATAATGAAAGCAAAGTTTCAGCTTAAGTCTATAAATTATATGATAAATGGAAATGGAAATTTGATCTAGCGTATACAAATCTCTGTGAAAGAAAAGCTAAAGATATGTGTTACAAGTTAGTTAGGACTCTAGCTTATGCTTGGGCAGATATTACCAGACTGACTTATATATATGTATGTATGTATGTACATTCATATATAATTGAAAGAAAATATAAAATTTCGTGCTCTAGCTCTCTGCAAATTTTCTAAGCTAATTTATCGATGGCAATCGAATTGATATCGAGTTTACAGCTACAGACAATATTACAGTTGTACGGTATAACAGATTTTTCTTTTCTTTTGTTTCTTTTTTTTTTTTTGCATTTCGTCAGTATTACAGTATTACATACATATAGTACATAGATATTAACGCTTCATTTAGCTCAAGTTTCACATTTTAGCTTACTTAAAAAAAAGATTCTAAATACTAGAATTAACTATTATTATTTCTTTTATAATTTTCTTTGTAATTGTTTTTTTTGTTTTGTTTTGTGTTTTCATTTTTATTAATTTTTATTATTATATTTTCGAATATAAGGCGTCTTTCAGATCCGTTTATTTGCAGAAAGGGTTGAAAAAGGCAAAGGAGTTGAATGAGGAATGGGGATCGATGTGAACTCTGAAGCTCTTTGATTTGATGTAGTAATTGGAATGCTTGAATGCAACATGCGAGGGCAGTCTGATAAGTTACAGAACTAAGTCAAGTATCGTCTGCCAAGTCTTCAAACAACACTCGCATGCTCTATGTATATATAACTATATATATACTTATATATATCTATTTATTTATTTTTTTTTTATAATTAGGTGCAAACTAATATGGCATTTCACAATAAAAAATTTTCCCCTGTCTAAATGCTAAACACAACATTTTGTGGCTAGTCTTATGGTTGCTTTGTTTTTTTTTTTGGCAGATATATTTTTTAAATTAATTAATTAATTTTTTTTTTGCTCTTTTCCAATCTGGCCTTACTTTGGTTTAACAATTACTTCTAACATGAGGAGGCGTGGAATGACGATGAATTGTGTCATAAATTAAGCATAGCTGCACATGCGAACCTTTTTTTTGCCTTTGTAGTCTGATATTTCGACTTATATGAATACTTTTTTTTTATTAATAAAAAAAAAAAAAAAAAAGGTAAGTAAATAGTGCTTGAATTTTGACTGCTTTACATTTTTAATTTTAAATAAGATAAGCAAAAAAGTTCAACTAAAAAAATACTTTTAAAGTTTTAATTTTAATTGTTTTTTTTTTTTTTTTCATTTATACTTAAAACTAAAAAGATCTATTCAAAATTTTGTAATGGATTGAAATTTAGAAATTTACCATTTAAAGCAATTTGGGTTCGCAGGCTTCTGTATACAATGCAGGACATACGAATAGAAGCATGCAATAACAGATCGATGCTTATAAGAAATGAAAGACTATTTAGCTTTATGCACTAATGTAATGTGAATATATATTTACTAGGTAAAAAAAAAAAAAAAAAGAACGTGCGATGCTCTGCAGGGATCAATCATGGATCAGTCAGCCCCCACCCTCACCACATATATATATATATATATATTATAATATTAAAAAAAAAAAAAGAAGATGAATGTTGACGAAAATGGAGTACGACAAGATCTGCGACTGGCTGGCACTACGTTCCATCTAAAAAGCAGATTCCATAATAATAATCCAGATTGTCGTTGTTGTTGTTATTCAAGATGTTCAAGTGGTTGTTGTTGTTGCTGTTGTTGTTGTTGTTGTGTTTAGTTGTTGTCTCTGGCCGTTACACTACACATTATGATGCATGACAGATTAGGCATGATTATGCATATAGCATTATAATAGTATATATGTATATATTTATTTAAATACATATATATATTTATATATATTCTTATCTAACCTCATCGATATCCTCGCCCTCCGACGAGCTTCGAATGGTATTGTACTGAGAGTTACGGCTTCGTAGCATTCGCAGAAAGCTGCCCACCGCGAATATGGTGCGGCGATGTCGATGAAATATACCCTGATATAAGGCCTCTCGTAATGTCTTGCGATCCTCAACGTCCACCGATGACGTCAATGATGTTTGATGCGGCAAACGTGCTGTGAATAAATATATGCATCATTTTTATATTAGTAATAATAATTGCGATAAGGCAACACGATCGTTAAAACAAGCGCGAGCTTGCTCTAGCCGGCAGTGCCCGATTAATAGTTACCCATAATTAGATCTATTTGCTGAGTATTTCCCTATTGCTGTTTTATATAGTTGAATTTGCGTTGATAAAAGACTCTACTCTTAGATTTTCAGGCCAGCTCGATAGTAAGTTATATCATATGAGTCTAAAATTCTAATTTGATATGACTTATGGGACTCTAATAATCTTTGAGCTATGCTTAGTCTATGCTAGTCTTAAAATATAAATAGAACAGAGCTCCATAGTTGTATATACTTAAGTAGATGCTATAGACTAAACTTTTGGTATCTCTAGCTATTCGAAATATCAATTTCAGTTTAAGCAATTGAAATCAATTAATCGATTTTCATCGATGGTAAAAAACAGCTTTACATATATTTCAGCATAATCCTTCAACAAGAGCTGTCTCTCGCTCTCTGTCTCTTACTCTCTCTCACCTCTGTCTCTTTCTATCTCTTATATTTATTAAACCTATTAAGACTTCAATCGATATTTATCGATTTGCTTATATCTTCTAGTTTGTTATGTTAATTTGGATTTAGACCACAAACCAATGTGGATATCGCTAGCTTTTCAAGTCTTCGAGCTTTGCTATAAGCAATACAGACTCAAAATTGATATTTATCGATATGTATATAATAAATAAGCACATACATATATTCATCATTTAACCTTCATTCACTATTCAGCTATAAAACTTAATTGAAATTGATAAATTAATATTATTTACGCGTTAACTTTTTTCCAACTGTCACATTCAATTAGCCAGTAACGATATGCTCAGCGTGTTATGGCTTGCAGGGTATCTAAATTAATAAATACATAAATGGACACTGTCTACAGTTTGTAGTTAACCGAAAGACCTCAAGTCGAGGCTTCTGTTGCTCAGATTAATTTTCGCATGCGGCTTGTGGGCAGACGCAGTTATACGGAAATATATATATATGTATATACATATATATATATAAACATAGCATATTTATATACAGCATAGGTATATGTGTGTGTGTGTTTTTATATCATCTGGGTGTGTGTGTGTGTGTGTGTCTGTGATTGTTTGTTTGTTTTAGATCAGTTTTCATGGAAATATCAATTCAAGCCGCATGACATTCGAGTACCCTCCCTGCAGCTACAGTAGCAATTGCCTAAAAGCAATTTCAAGCATCACGATTAATTGAAATGCTTTGCAATCGGCTTCCATTAAATTAGGCATATATAGGCATATAGGTATATTTAGATAGTTTATAAGTATATGGGCCTAAGCTTACATTTCCCTTCGTATGAGACATAGCTATTGTAGTTGTTGCTGTTGTAGTTGTAGCTGTTCACTACTCTGTCATCTCATGACAAATTTGACATTTTAAGCGCTATAAAGATGTTCGACAATTATATTTTAATTATTGTTATATAAATCTACTTTCTGTATAGCATGGACAAAATGTTGGAAATACTTTGTTAAGGCTAACATTTTTACATAACTTGTACTCTTAGTAAGTCGAACTCCTGATGGCTGCGCCTTCTTTAACATAAACTTTAGGAGGTACATGAAAAAGTCTAAGAAAAATGAAAGTATTTTCAGCTTGTTTTGTTTTTCCACTTTGTTAGTTTGTACATTAGCTTTGTAATTAGTAGTTGTCTGGGCTATAAATCAATATAGCTTATAACGTCTTTTTTTCTTGTTTTTTAATGAGCTTTTGGACAAGCTCTTACTTTAGTGTAACATAAATATATAAGTTATTTTTAGCTTAGCTTTTCAGCTACTCATTTCGAATGAACTTAACAACTGCAACTGGTAAATTGAAATGATTTCAGTCCTTTTTCAGATCTACTTTTAATTTGCATTTCTGATTTTCAGAGATCTGCTCTACTGCGTGATAAAAATGTAATGTTAACTTTACACTTATGCTCTGTATTTCGGTTTATATAGTCTTCACTGTACAGCTTGTTGCTCATGTGCGTATTTAAAATTAATTTTTTATTGGGCTGGGCTACCCTGTTTGTTTGTTTGTTTGTTTTTTATATATGTATAAATTTTTTTTTTACTAAGAACTTATCTGTTTTAGGTGGGGCTCGCTTTTGGTTGTTCTCTTTTATTTACGTTTATGCACACATATGAAACTTACCTGCAATCGGTGATTTTGGCGATTTCAGCGAATATTCATCCAAGTTTTTGGCGCCCAAATCGAGTTTGAGCACCTTTTTGCTTAGCTGCTGTGTGGCGGTTTCCATGTTGCTAGACTTTTCAATTTTGATGTCCACATTGCGTTGGCTAACGGCACTTTTTGTTGTTGCTGCAGCTGTTAATGTTGTTGTTGTTGTGGGCGTTGTTGGTGTTGCTGTTGTGCCAGTTGCTTTGGCGGCATCGGCAACGTTTGCATCGGACATGTTGTTGTTGTTAGTGTTGGTATTGTTGGTGTTGTTGGTGCTCTTGCTGCTGTTGTTGTCGTCTTGCTTATCAATATGAATACTGATGCTGTTGCGATTGCCGTTGCTGTTGTTGGTGTGGTTGTTGTTGTTGTTGTTGTTGCAGTTGTTATTCTTGCTATTTGAATTGGAGGTCGCTGCTTGTGAACCGCTGGCACTTGCGGCCGTTAATGCTGCAAATTGAGCGTCGCTGCGATTGCCGTTCGCTAACGTCGCTGTTGCTGCTAACGCCGGCGTTGTAGTTGCTGTTGCTGTTGTTGCTGCTGCTGCTGTTAGTACGTCGGCAACAGCCGCAACCATTGTTCGTACTACGTAATAGTTTGGCTTAAAAGCCGTTATATATATATATATATATATATATGTTTTTGTTATAAGCTGCCTACAACTGCTGTTGTCGCTGTTGTTGTTCGTTGTTGTTTGCACATAAAAACACACACAAAAAAAAAAGTAAAATTTGATGAAAAACGAAACGAAACGAAATGATTTCCGATGACGTGCACGCTGCTTTGCTTTGTTCCAGAATATATTTTGCAGCTCGTTTGTTTGTTTGCTTTGTTGTTTGTTCTGGCAACTAATTGCACTTGTTGTTATTGTATTCTATTATGTTGGTGGTCTGGCTTCGTTGGGTATTTGCATTGGACAACTGCCGGCTATTTCAAAACTACCGCCATACAGCGCCACCTGTTGCGTACAGTCGGTAAGCGTTATGAGCGGCAGACTGCTATCGCACAAGCGCAGTTGGCTCAAGTTATCGATTATTTCATACAGCTTACGATGCTGTTGCTGTTGATCGATGGCCGACACGTGAAAACTATTATTGCTGCTGCTGCTGCTGCTGTTGTTGTTGTTGCTGCTTTTATTGTTGCTGTTATCTTCACCACTCTGCCTGGCAAAATCGCACATGTCCGTTATGTTGCGCTGCCCGGCCGTTATGTGCACTCGAATGGCGTCTGTGCTCGAGCCCTGGTTCTGCACTGATGTCTGGCAACGCTCACCCTGCTGCAAACTATTCAAAAACCTGTTCAACTGCTGCGGTTGCTCGACTGCTGCTTTCTGCCGTCGCGGCCAGGCTTCCAATGAGTGACGTCGTTGCTTCTGGTGCTGCTGCTGTTGCTGCTGCTGTTGCTGCTGCTGCTGTGGCTGTAACCGTAACTGCAACTGCTGCTGCCGTTGCTGTTGCTTTATTGCATTACGTTGGCCAATCGATTGCAGGTACTTGATATTTGCTTGCAACCCCCGTTCGTAGTAGCTGCTCGCCAACTGCAAATACGTGTACAGATCTATGCGTCGACGTCGCTGCCTCTGCTGCGCCTGCTGCTGCTGCCGTTGTAGGCTTTCCCTTGTATTAATATTTAGCACATGCTGCTCATAATTGTTGCTGCTGCTGCTGCGACTGCTGCTGCTGCGTGCGCTGCCTTGGCTGCCATCATTGGCTCTTGTCCTCGTGCCGCTTTCAGGTGGTAAACGGCCCCTTTTGGTGGCGCCACTGCGTCAGTTGAGCTGCCGCTGTACGAACGCCTTCAGTTGGTCGCAGCTTTGGGCGCTTCTGATACGCTGCACTGTATCGTTGTAGATTTCGACGGGTGGCAACGCCGAGCAAATTGTTTGCCGGCCACGGGGCGCATACGTAATGCCCGATCTGTAATTAGGCAAGCGGGTTAGCGACTGGGGCTGATGTAAACATTAATTACAACAATGCCAAGCATTAAACGTATTCACTCGTACGAACACAAAGCAAACAGGCAAACAACAATGAACTAGGTAAACAAAGTGTGGGAGGGTGAGGCCAGTGGGGTCAGTGAAAGGGTCTGGCTAATATGATAATAAAGCAAAACGAGCTGCAGACCGAGGGTCAGTTGATGGGTCTCGGTCTGGCTCTAATATAATCAAATAACGATTTCCACCGCCCAGCTCCACTTGACTATTATTTACTTATCGTTATCGTTATCGTTAATATAGGTAATGTCAACAAGTGAGGTTAAGTGCGATGCGGAAGCGGCTCCTTTTTCTTGTATTTTTCCTTTCTTCATATTTTTGTTTTCTGATGATGCGGCACTCGTTGTGAACCCATGGCGGGATTAGCTTTGTGCAAAGGGGCTCAGCTGAATACTAAAGCTGCTTGTTTTATAAAATCAATAGAAAATGAAAATGAAAATGAAAGCAAAACAATATGATTGATGGAACTGTACTTGCTTATTCGCCATCTAAGCTCCTTGGCTCTGCGAGCGATTACGTGAACAAGAAATGCAAATGCCACATCCCAGCAGCTGCGAGAAAATCAATGTCTCTATACCTTCTTTAATAGAGAGCCCAGACGGATTTGAACTCAGTGAATTAAGCAAATAACAAATATGTCAAGTGACTCAACCTAAGCTACCAGCCAGACCTCTGGGCTGAGAAGCTTAAGTCGTAAGACTTAAAGTCATAGTCTGGTAAGATATTACTTAATATATTTAGTTTTCTTTCATTTAATACCAGTGATTATCTACTGCTTAGTCCTTAGTTGCTGACACTTATACGTCTGACTCTTGTCGAAGGTCTGAGCCATTAGTGATACTTAAATAAATATACCTATATTAGCTGGCATTATAATATTCTTTAACATTCATTTTACCCGAACCAAATTATCTTTGCCCCAACTCAATGCTAACGTCCACGGTTTTTATGGGATACACTTTATGTTCTTTCCCAGCAATATGTAAGCCTAGGGTATAATTAAATGTCAATAAATAAACTCTAGTTTATGTGGCCAGAGAAAAGGGCGTTTCTCTCCTCACTTGTCTCTGTTTAGCAGGTGTATTTTGATTAGCCCAGCTGATGGATTATTAACAGGGATATTCCCTTATAATTTGTCTATATAAAACCAATTGATAAGAGATGAGGCGACCTAACGCTTAATATATGACATAATCCCGCTAGATAAAGTCCCCAAGTGTATATGCGTAAGCTCTATTTTTCCCCTATCTGCATTTGCATGCGGAAAAGCCCAAGTGGGCAATTGTCAACTAACTGGCGAGCCCACCAAGCGAAAAAACCACACAATATGCCTTATCAAGTCGCTGTCACTGACGTCAGGCTAGGCGGTCGGTCAAGGGTCGGATCTGTTGTTGGGCGGGGGAGGCTGTTGGGCGCTTTGGATAGTTGGGTTGGGTGGTGCAAACTCAAGCTGAAGATGTGTCGGAAATTTCACGTCAATCGCAATGCCGCATGGTTATGATAGCACCAGAGTCTAAAAAGCTACACGCTTACACAATTTTTATATGTCATCAGCAGACACATAGCCAGTCAGCCCACCCACCCACACGCACACCCACACCCACACCCACACCCACACACACACATACACACACCTGGGATAGTATTGCACATGGATGGGTAGTTCGCAACGAAATTGGACACTAGAAGTGCTGACGGTCATTGGAGCCAGCGGACGTAGTCGAGTGCGTGGGCGATACTTTGGCTGCTGTTGCCTGTGGGGCAACTGGCGACGGTCGCCTGGCTGCTGTTTGTGCTGCCACGTGGCGGTCTGTTGCAGCTGGATGTCGCGATAATGATTGGCCACCTCATGCTGATAGCGCTCGACGCGAAAGCATTTCTTGTTGTAGATCCGTCGCATGCTCAGGCGAGGCTCAAATTTACAGCCCACACGCAGCGGCTGACCCACAACACCCAAGTCGGACATGGAACTATGAATTATGTGCTATATACTGTTACACTCTATATATGTAGGTATGCTTGTAATCTAGAGAGAATCGAGCGCGTGCTCAACCGTTTGGTCGCAGGCAACGAAGCCAACTACAGACTTGACATTGATGGAACAACTAATCATAGCCTTAAGTTGCCTAAGTCAAGCAGGAGTGCAGAGTGCCATCGGGGAGCAGTAGTTGGGGCGGGGCTCATCACGTTCTAAGGGTTGCAGCGGGGGTCCCTTGAAATTATGTACAAAAATTTGTCTATACATTGATTGGATACAAAACAAAAATCAGTATTTCCGTCTGGCAACAATTTGCGGTTATTTGTTATCACGTCGGTTGGCAATGGGGCGATTGGGTTGGAGTGAACCTCCATGCCAAGCAGTCAGACGCCTCCGGGCCACAATTTCTTTGGGCTGTAATTGCTTGGCTACTTGATACTATGTAAACCTGATGTTAACATGTATACGACAATCATAGTACAAGCTCAAAAGCAAGGCATAGTTTTCAATCGATATTTATCGAAATGAGAAATCAAGTGACCTTTGCATCAACAAGGAAACACGACTCACTTTATGAATGTACGATAAGGTTTCTTCCGCGTAGTTAAGCTCGATTGATTTTCATTAACGATTCAGATGATGTTATCGAAAAATCAATAATAATGTTTTAGCTAGGATTCACCTAGAGTAATCAAATAATCATTTGGATGTGTTTCCAGAACATGCAGCTAATAGATATATGGCAAATCTTCATATATGACGTCTGTAAATAATGGTTTATAATGGCTATATATGATATTACTAGACTTGGCAATGTGGATAGACTCCTGGGATATGCTTTATCCAAATACTGGGTATACGAGCCGTTGTCTAGGGCGTGTTCAGCCTGTGCTGTTGCCAATAGTCAAATTAGTCGTTTTCATGTCGTTAACTATTGTAACTGGTACATCCTCAATCCCAATCGCTATGGGCCCCACTCCGTTACTGGGCCGATTTGCATGTTAGTGGCGTCAGCAACAATAAGCCAAACAATGTTATTCAAATGCAAAACAAATATTGTCAACAAACACAACAGCAGCTATACATAAAAAGCAAGTTTAACGTTTGGGCAATTCTGCACTTCAGTTGCGCTACTATGAATCGTTAGGTAATGCCCGATCTGCTATATACATGTGTATATATACATGATGTTTGTGTTGTGTCCGAGAACTTTGAAGTGCGCGAGCCCGGGCAGGCGTTTCAATCAATCGTTGGCCTCGACTTAATTGAGCCAACAGCTGATAACAAGCGAATGAAATTTCATTTGGTATTTCAAAATCGACTCTAATTACACTTTAAAGACATTACTATGTATATATATGCGTGTATGTATATATATATATATATATATATATGTAAAATATAATAGGAAAGCGCGCGGTGCGTGTTACATTCGCGCTTCATTAGGGCCTTAAGTCAATATTTATATAAATATGAGTTCTGATAACTTTTTGTATATGACAATTATTCGCTTCTTATATGTATGTTCAAGCATTCAGTTTCTGAGGTTAAACTCACATTAACTGAATTGATTTAATGCTGTTAACAGTTGAGTAAACATTGTGTTGACATTTACAGCATTCTACTTGCAGTGACAGCAGTACTTTAACAATTATTTGCGTACATTTCAGTTGAAAATGTTTCTATTAACTACACATAGAATTTAACAGCGCTGTTATAACTAAAGAATAGCTAACATGTTGGCTTACATTTATGTTAAGAGTTACCTTTCTCATTCAATTGTTAACAGTAAGATCAGTTAGAATGCTCTACGTAAATAAATAGAAAACAAATTTTAATAGTTGTATTTAATGCAACTCTTAACATGTTGTTAGTCCACAAGCAGCACTAAAGTTAAACTTAAACATGTTAAACTTAACATGTATAAGTGAACATTTAATGATTGATTACGGCTGTGAGCACTTGAATAAGACCCATCATGCCAGTGTACTTCATATATACATTCATACGTATAAGTTATATAGAATTGTAGGGCAACTAATGCGATTGAATGATTAATTTAGGATTTCGATGATGATATGAAAGCATGCAATGCAAAAGGCTCCAGACATTCAAATATATACATACATATATATGTGTCTGAATGTATGTTTGTGGAAAATAAAGTGAACAATGTAGCCGCTGAACGTGGCAGTGTGGCACGTTCTATTGTTGAACTGTCGTTTGCCAGTTTCGGTTTGGCGATTTGTTAATCAATCAGCAAAGAAATCATGCCCCCGGCATCGCTTCCCTCTGTCGCTTGTCGCGAATCGGCAGTGTTCTACTTTGTGGAAATTATATGAGTAATTGCTGCAGACGAGCCATTAAAAACTGAAAGCAATTTGCGCTGCCCCTTAACGAGGCGACCGGCCGAAAACGGGGGATCGGCGGTAGGGCGGTTAGTTAAAAAAAGCAACAAGAAGAACCCCAAGCTCTTTGTACAAATCCGCCAGGAGGCGCTGCTAGTTAAGTGTGTGTGTGCGTGTGTGTGTGTTTTGTGTGCGTAGCTGTAACCATTTCGAGTAATTGCCATGTTTATTTGCTCGCACTGACAAGCGTGGTGGTTGAGGGAAGTGGGGGGGGGAGGAGAAGCCGCTAACCACATGCGTACACATGCATGCGCATGCAAATATACATACATACATATACATATGTACATATGTACATAAATACATATAGTTCGCGTCTATGGTGGCGTATGTTGCGCCTGAATGTAGGCAATGGCCACTTATATGCCTTAAAACTATGCACACAATTAAAACAACCGTTAAAAGCTGTCATCATGTGCAACGAGCAGCCAGTATAGAGAGCAACAAGGAGACAAGACAGGCAAGAAAGTGAACGCGCTTGAGAGTGAGCGAGAGCGAGAGCGAGAGCAAGTTTCGTCAAATGACACTGACAGCTAAGTGCATGGGAGTGTGTATGTGCTGGTATTAGGCATGCATACGTGAGCTTTCTTCCTTTCACACACACACACACACTCACGTACGTATTTGACATTACATGTATTTGTTCATAAGCAAATACAATCACAATCAGCAAAGGTTTTTGCCCCACTTTGACACAAAAGCCGTGTTTTAGTCGCTGTGTCTGTGTGACACACTTATTATGCCTTATCACTCAAACACACACACATGGACACTCACAGGCAAAGACAGCCAGTGCGCACTTAATACACATACGTATGTATGTATTAATGTTCTCTTTTTTTTTTTTTTTTTGCTTTGCACGGTCAATAAACTGCGGGCGCTACGCAGGAAACAAACAGACAAGCACAAACAAAAACAACAATTAGGCACACATAAATCCATCAACAGGAAACTGGCAGCGGGCACCTCAACTCGGTGTTGGACTTGAAATAAATGAACAATGATTGCAGCCATTGAATAATTTATTCAAATGCATTTCAATCGCATAATTAATGAAACAATTGAAATCGTAACAATATATAGATATATTTGAGTAAGTGTATATGTGTGTAATAGCAAAACAAATAAGCGCAAATAAACCTTATTGATTGCTTACCAAGCAAATAAATGTACCGCTATTGTTAACCTCTTTTTGTCGTTGTTCAACACAACAGCTGGTTGTATCCGTGTGTATTTGTTTGTTTGTTTGTATGTGTGTGTAAGTATGTGTATGTGTTTTTGTACACTCTCTCTTTCTCCGTTTGGCAGTTAAAACTGTCACTTGCAATTAGTGCATAATTTATTTTTTTATTTATCACTTGACGTTCACAGCCATTTTTATTTAACGGCTGTTCCGCAATTTTCAGATTTTACTATTTGAAATATTCTTAGTTAATTTCTTATTTGCATTGTATGTCTGCAGTTAAATGCGTTTCGTTTCGTTTGATTGCCACGCTTGATTGTTTCGTTTGGTTTTGTTATTTGATATTTTCTTTCGATGCATCGCTGGAAATCGATACACTTCCAACTTGATATGCAAATCGATAGATTTACTCTAGCAGTATGGCAGCACATCACATTTTTATAACGTGTGCGAACTGAGTTCCCGCCACATATGACATGCAACAGCTGTTTTCCTAACATGCCTGCATTAGTAATAGAATATTGCGCAAAATGTGTGGAAATGTTTTCTTATGCGACCTACAATTAATTTAACAGCATTTTAATTAACTTTGGATAGTGACTTCGATGCATTATCTTGATATAAATTGGAAGTGATTGATTTTTTAAAAAGGGAGGTAATAAAAATTATCGAAGCATTGAATTAATCGGTGTTATGACGCACTTATCGAAATATTGCGCAATTTCGAGTATCTGCGTTAGTTCTGCAGTTCATTTATTTGTAGTTCCTTTTTTGTAGCTCATTTGTTTGGTTGCATGGTGATCATTAGAATTTTTTATTTATTTTGTGTATAACATATTTATATTATTATGGCATTGGTTGGGATATTATAATAAAAAAGTAAATTGCTGTATATATCCATACAAAATTTAACCGCATTTGTAGCTGTGGCAAAATCAAAGTTCACCAGCCTGAACTAGTTCGGCGCGCTACAACACCTTAGTTTTAGGATTTTAGGAAGCCGCATTATATTTATTGTAAGAAATTTTGACATATTTCTATTAGGAAAGTATGACATACAGAAAATAATTGGATATCATTATACTGAAGTAAGAATTTGTATAGTGTATAGTGCTAATTGAAGCTAGCTATCGAAGCAAGCTTAAAACGCCGGCATCTAAAAAAAATAAAAGTCTAAATTGTCACCATGACATCTGCAAGGGATTTAATTAAAATTGATATAGTAAGTGGACAAATAAATCAATTTAAGTAGCTTAAACTAATGTACCAACAATATCTATGCAGGAATGGGGCATGGAACGATTGGTGCGCGCCCAGCAAGTCGTCGAGCTGCGGCCATACGACATCGAATCGTGGTCCGTGATGCTTCGCGAGGCACAGACTCGACCCATCCACGAGGTACGAAGCCTCTACGAATCCCTGGTGAATGTTTTTCCCACAACCGCGCGCTACTGGAAGCTCTATATCGAAATGGAGATGCGCAGCCGATACTATGAGAGAGTGGAGAAGCTCTTCCAGCGTTGTCTGGTCAAAATTCTCAACATTGATCTGTGGAAACTCTACCTGACCTATGTCAAAGAGACCAAAGCGGGTCTTAGTACCCATAAGTAAGCTCTAATACATTTCAACTTTACAGTTCCACAAGTTAATCTTCGTTATCTTTCTTTGCAGAGAAAAAATGGCTCAAGCATATGATTTTGCTTTGGAAAAGATTGGCATGGACCTGCATTCGTTTAGCATTTGGCAGGATTATATTTACTTTTTGCGTGGTGTGGAAGCTGTGGGCAACTATGCGGAGAATCAAAAGATCACAGCTGTTCGGCGTGTCTATCAAAAGGCGGTGGTGACGCCCATTGTGGGCATTGAGCAGCTTTGGAAAGATTATATTGCTTTTGAGCAGAACATCAATCCGATAATATCAGAGAAAATGAGCTTAGAACGGTCCAAGTGCGTCGATGGCTATATTAATGAATGCATTACTATAGAATCTTAATGCTCGATCTCTATCCTCCCTAGGGACTACATGAACGCTCGTCGTGTGGCGAAAGAGTTGGAATTTCATACAAAAGGGCTCAATCGCAATCTGCCCGCTGTGCCACCGACACTCACCAAAGAAGAAACTAAACAGGTGGAGCTGTGGAAACGTTTCATTACCTATGAGAAGTCAAATCCTTTGCGCACAGAGGATACGGCGCTCGTCACCCGACGCGTGATGTTTGCCACAGAGCAGTGTTTGCTGGTTCTGACACATCATCCAGCTGTTTGGCATCAGGCATCGCAATTCCTGGACACCAGTGCACGCGCCCTCACCGAGAAAGGCGTGCGTAGACGTATATTGAACACAATAATCAACAGATGCTGCAATTTGTCGCAAATGTTGCAAATAGAAACAAAGCAAAAAATCAAAATTCTGTCTCTTTGTTGCCTCTATGTGAAGTGTCGCCCCTTGGGTAAGGCGGCACGTGGCAACCGAAAAACAATTAGCTTTTTCTTTCCTTTCGTACTCCATTGTGTACTTGCCGCTTTGCCCTTGGCTTTGGCCGCACGCGTTTTACTCAACATGACCCGACCAAAACGTATAAAATAATCTCGATACAACTATAACTCTATATATAAACTATATCAATCAATTGACATATATGCATTTCTAACATATTCCTTCCATGCAGGATGTGCAAGCAGCTAAGATCTTTGCAGACGAATGCGCCAACATACTGGAACGCTCCATCAATGGTGTGCTCAATCGCAATGCTCTGCTCTATTTCGCCTACGCGGACTTCGAGGAGGGTCGACTCAAGTACGAGAAGGTGCACACCATGTACAACAAGCTGCTCACCCTGCCAGACATCGATCCCACGTTGGTAAGGCAATAGGAAGCGATTTGATTGCTGATATCGCTGCTTGAGCATTTGTAATGCAAATTATATGAATTATGTATATAGCAGCAATAGAGCTAATAATGCGAATAGGTTATCGCTGTTTCACATTAATCATCTTTGTATTAATATATCTATAGAGCATTTGTCCATATAGTCATATTTCTAGTCTTAAATCTTGAAAGGAATTGTATATTATTTGTAGACAAGGTATGGGTAGAGTAAAAAACTAATAATTTTATATCACCTGAGTTGTAAAACTAGCATAGTTTTAGCCACTACTGAGCTCCTCTCTATTATTATTATAGAATTAAGCATCGATTTTGTTAGAGCTTAAGGGACTATAGAATAATTTGATAGAGCTATATGCATCTCTTAAGTCATTTTATAGTCATAGATCTTGGGGCTTTTACAATACTTCAGCTTTGTATGTATTTTGTATAGGTATTCAGTTATATAATTCGAATAATCATATCTATGCTTATAATTAGATTTTGCGTCGCAATGTTATTTTCACATTTCTATTGATTTAGAAGACCATTGCAAAAAAGTTAAATATCATGTTTTATTATTTTAAGGTTCACATAAACAATTTAAGTTGAAATTTATAGTTTTTATGTGGACTACAGCTGTAAGAATAATAACACTACTAATTATTTTTTTTTAGAATATTTTATTTTCATGTTAAGATTATTAATTTTTTTTCCAGGCTTCGTCTTGTAATATATTTAAGTACTTTATTCCCTCTTATGTATCTATCCCATTTATTGATGATATTTCAGCTCATTAATTTACCTAATATTACTAATATATATGCCAATTTATATAAATAATATATTTATATCACAATCCGTACATCCAGGTCTATGTGCAGTACATGAAGTTCGCTCGTCGCGCTGAGGGCATCAAATCGGCGCGTAGCATTTTTAAGAAAGCCCGCGAGGACGTTCGGTCGCGCTATCACATATTTGTGGCGGCCGCTTTAATGGAGTACTACTGTTCCAAGGACAAGGAGATTGCATTTCGCATCTTCGAGCTGGGCCTGAAACGATTCGGCGGCAGTCCCGAGTACGTGATGTGCTACATCGACTACCTCTCCCACTTGAACGAGGACAACAACACGCGTGTGCTATTCGAGCGTGTCCTGAGCTCCGGCGGTCTGTCGCCCCACAAGAGTGTGGAAGTCTGGAATCGTTTTCTCGAATTCGAGTCGAACATCGGCGATCTGTCCAGCATTGTCAAAGTGGAGCGAAGACGCAGTGCGGTCTTTGAAAATGTGAGTGCGACTATGAATATTCAAATATGTATATATAGGTATTATAACATATTTCCCTGTAATTCGCTCACAGCTGAAAGAGTACGAAGGCAAGGAAACGGCCCAGCTGGTGGATCGCTACAAGTTCCTTGATCTATATCCTTGCACCAGCACCGAGCTCAAGTCCATTGGCTATGCTGAGGTAAAGCTGATTTATTGTTTCCATTGACAAACGGATTCTATAGCCTTCCTCTGCTCCACTTTATAGAACGTCGGCATCATTTTGAATAAGGTGGGCTCTGCGGCTGGGAATAGCGACGGGGACGGTGATGGCGAGACGGCGCAGCCATTGCCACGCCCAGATTTTTCCCAGATGATACCATACAAGCCGCGGTCGTGCGCCCATCCCGGCGCCCATCCGCTGGCTGGCGGCGTCTTTCCACAGCCACCAGCGCTGGCTGCGCTCTGCGCCACCCTGCCACCCCCGAACAGTTTTCGGGGTCCATTTGTCAGTGTGGAGCTGCTCTTCGATATCTTTATGCGCCTCAATTTGCCAGAATGTAGGTGTCCAGACATTGAAATGACTGCCACAAAGCTAAGTAGCTGATCATGTCTTATCTATTTTTACAGCGGCTCCACAACCGAATGGCGATAACGATTTAACGCCCAAGATCTTTGATTTGGCCAAATCGGTGCACTGGATCGTGGACACCAGCACGTATACGGGTGTGCAGCACAGTGCGACCACGATGCAGCCCCGTCGACGCCGCCTGCTGCCCGGCGGCGACGATAGCGACGATGAGCTGCAGACATCGGTGCCACCGACGAACGATATTTATCGATTGCGTCAACTGAAGCGCTTCGCCAAGTCCAATTGAATCAGTTAAAGCAATTGCGTTCTTTATTTTAATGGATTTTTTTTTTTATATATTCCATTCACTTTAAAAATAATAATATCAAGGAAATATCTTCAATTGCGATTTGCCTATATATGTAGATATGGACTTGAAACATCTTGATATACATATAATATAAACGATTGTCTTAGAGCATCTTAAAGCATTTGTTAGCATATGAGTTAATTGAGTAAAAGGTTTAGGAATCAACAGAAATTGAAAAGTATTTGAATATGTATGTATATACTATATAGTAAATGTATATTTATATGTAAGTCATATTCATTTCCAAGTTCAGGCAGTTAGTAAAACATACTGAAATATGAGCAAGATTTATGATGCCTTCTCTTTAAATACGTTGTCGGTTTATATAGCTGCCAATGAAACGTTTAAGGTTGAGAATACAGGCTCCATGTATATACACAAACAGAAGCTCGTCTTCATATATTACTTTTCTTTTCTGCTTTGTGTTGCATTTGTAAACGTTGCACGCGTGAAAGAGACAAAAAATATGAACTTTGAAGACTTTTCCAAATTAAGAGAAATGAAACGTGTATTATGAGGGATATATTTTATGTTTTCTAATGAATCAAATGAGTATTTGGAATAGGTACTACAAATAAAACACAATAGCTTAAGCAACAAAAACTATAACTATAACGAAATAAGATTTGCATGGAATTGGTATATTCATGAGCAAGTCAAGTGAATCTATGAGTGAGTGTTTCAGCATGCAAAAGGAATCAAATGGGCACAAATAACTGAATGGGTAATTTACAGGTACTACAACTAAAAACAATAGGTAATCAACAATTTGCTAGCTACAACTATATGAATGGAATGAGTATGAGTATAAATGTGAGCTAGTAATTTATTGACTTCTGGATATGCCCAGAGTGAGTGAATGAGTATGAGTAAATGTGAATGATTCACCGTTAATCATCTTAGCTGATTGAATATGAATGCGTATCTGAATGAATAATTCGCATTCGATGATTCACTCTCAACGTTTGGCTGGCGCACATGCTGATCGTTTGAGTGGGTGTAAATATGAATGAATGAATGAGTACTCAATGATTCATTTCTCATCATCTCATATTTAGAGTGCTGGCGATGTTTACATACTAAACGAATAAATGAGTGTGACTCCAAATGGGCGTGAATGAGTATTCAATGATTCACTTTTCATCAGCTGCATGAATGAATGATTCATTTTGCCTCCTCTTCGCCGGGTTTACAGCGCTTCCGATGCTTGTAGAGTCCAGCGTACTGGGCGAATCTCTGCCCGCAGCCGGTGCAGCTGTAGCGCTTCTCGCCGCGATGCAGATTGAGGTGGGCGTAGTAGGCGCTGCCCACGACAAAGGCACGCCCACAGTAGGGACAGACCTTGTCCCGGATGTTCAGATGGGCGCGCAGATGCCGATCCCGCTCGTGGGCCGTATAGAAGGCCTTGTCGCAGCGATTGCAGGGATAGTCCCGCTTCTCCGTGTGCCGCTTGACATGCTGATTCAATTTGCTGGCGTTCACGAATCCCCGGGCACAGTGCTCGCACACGTAGGGCAGCTCCTTGGTGTGGCTGCGCTGATGCACGCGCAGCGAGGTCGAGTTGAAGAACTTCTTGGGGCACTCGCTGCAGCAGTGCGTGCGCTGGCCCAGATGCCGTCGCAGGTGAGCCTGGAGGCTGCTGCGCAGCGAGAACTTCATGGCGCAGATGTGGCAGATGTGCTCCAGCGGATTGGCGACAGCTGAGCCGCCAGAGCACTTGGTGCGACGTCGCTGACGCAGCTGCTCCGGCTGCAGTTGCTCCGCATGGACATTGTGCTGATGGCGCAGGTAATCGCTGCGCCGCTTAAAGCTCGCCGAGCACTGGTCGCAGCCGAAGGGTGAGACGTGCAGCTCCAGGAACTGGAGTGGGGCGTAGTACTCGTAGCTGGGCAGCCACGATTCGCCGCGCTTCAGTGCCTCCTGCCGCGCCTCCTTGCACTGCCTGTACTGGCAGCGGAACTCGATGAGGCGACTCTTCAAACGTTCCACGGTGATCTGCAGATTGCATTCCTCCTGGAGACGCGTGCACAGCGATTCCAGATGCCGCAGTCGTTGCTTGCGCTTCGTATAGTCCGGGTGGGTGGTGCACCACAGCTGCTCGTAGCTCTGGTAGACCTGGATGATCTTCAGGTTGCTGTCGCGCTGCTGCAGCGATTTCTGGAGCACACGATTGATGGGTACCACATCGTCCAGGAAGCTGAATGCTTCGTAGAAGCCCCAGCGTGTGCCCGCGCCCTCGCCCTCCACAGCCAGAGCCTCGCGCTGACGCTCCCGCCTATAGTACTTGATATAGTCCGTGAGCTTGCGATGCAGCATTTGCCAACTGAAGCGTCTTCCAGATGCAGCTCCGGCTACAGCTCCAGCTGCAGATCCTCCGCTAACTGCATTCAATTGAGCCGCAATGCTGTGCCAGGCCTGGCGGCGCAGCTTCCTTGTATGATAGTCCAGATGATTGGGATTCCAGAGATTGGGATGCTGGCGATAGAGTTCGATGAGCTTGTGCGTCAGCTCCACGCTGAGCCGCATGCGCAGCTGCAGCGACGTCGAGTTGGGGCTCTCTTCGGAGGAGGTCTCTGTCAGCTCCTCGCGAGGATAGTCGGGCTGGAGCACCGCAGCAGCCAGGCTAGGCATGCTCAGCTCCTCCAGCGGCTGATCCACTGGCTGCACTTGCTCCACTAATTCCAATTGCTCTGGCTCTTTGCCCTTCTCCGGCTGCTGCTGGCACTCCTGTTCCATTGCCGGCAGCGTCTCCTTCAGCGGCTGCTCCTCACAGTTGCCCTGGACATGGGCCTGATGGCTCACCAGATTCTCAAAGATTTTGCCACAGGCCGCACACACATACGGATCGATGTGCTTGTGCAGGAACTCCATTTCCGCATAGTGCTCAAAGCTGGATACGAACTCCGCCTGCTTGCCCTCCACGATGCTGTGCAGATACCTGATCTTCTCCAGCCGGTAGCGCTTCCGCAGCGACAGCAGACGTCGCTGCATGGCTATCCCGGACAGCTTCACTCCGCACATTCGCAGTGCCAGCTGCAGTCCACGGTGTGCCTCGTGTCGCTTCCGCACCGTCTCCGTGCAGCGCAGCCGCTTGTGGGCATTGTGCCAGAGGATGGGATAGTGCTCGTAGATCTCCAGCAGCTTGCGGTTCTCATGCGCAATATGCTCCTGGCGATTGAGCAGCGACTGCTGCTCGCACAGGAAGCGCAACTGATCGTAGTGCACGAACTTGGCGCAATCCTCCAGCTCGCCCTCGGCGGCCAGACGCTCGCGCTGCTTGAGGAATCGCTGGCACAGCGTCGAGATCCGTATGCGTACGTCCGTTACGCTGAAGCTACGGCCGCAATGCGCGCTCCATGCATCGGTTATCTGATGCCACGACTCCCGGCCACGATCCACATCCCGAAACTCGGGATGCGACTGGTCCCAGAGGCGGGGATGCGATTGATAAAGCTCGATCAGTTTCTTCACGTGCTGACTCGTCAGCTTCGGTGGCTCCCCTATGGGCAGGGCGGGCTGTCGATAAGATCAGAGGGAGAGAGTGAGAGACGGTTTTGAGAGAGAGAGAGAGAGAGAGAGAGAGAGAGAGAGAGAGAGAGAGAGAGAGAGAGAGAGAGAGAGAGAGAGAGAGAGAGAGAGAGAGAGAGAGAGAGAGAGAGAGAGGGAGAGGCGAGAGAGAGAGGGAGAGAGAGAGGTTGAGATGCGACGCTTAAGAAAATGTCTAACTAAATAACTAGAGAAAAGTTTGCTCTACATTTATTCGCGTGTGAACTGTGGAATAGGACTAGGATGGGTATTTTAGTAGGAATTAATACAAAATTCTTCTCATAAGCTGACTAAAAACCGCCAAACTTAAAGCTAAACCAAGTCAAATAAGTGTCGAATCACTTTATTTCCTTTAAAATATTTTTTAGCGGCTTCCACTGCAAAATTCATAGAATTTAGCTTGAATTTCAGCTTGACTTTCATCAGCTTGAATTGAATTTCAGCTTGACTTTCCGCTTGGCTTTCAGCTAGGCTTTCAGCTGACTTTCAGCTTGACTTTCATCGTGTTTTTCAGCTTGTCTATTTTATGGCCAACAGGTTTGGATTAATGTTAATAGATTTCATTGAAGTCTGATACAAATTCTCGATAATTCCTTGCGGTTCTTTTTACAGTTTTTTATGTTCTGGGAGATAGATTGCTTAAGTTAGGTTTTTGTTTTTTAGTATATAAATTTCTTTGAATTCTGTTGGGGTTCATTCAATAAGTTATGTAAACTTGAAATAGGCTCTCTAGATTAGATTATGTTTTTCAGTTTGTAGAAAGTTAAATTCTAGATTTAATTTATTTTTATTTTTTCTAGCTTTAAATCTTTTTATGTATATGTTGGCATTTGTAGGCTTAGAGGTATATCTTGTATATATGTACTGAATGCCTTTATATGTATGTGTGTGGATATAGAAGAGGTCTTTGCTATGACAGTATGATATTATACTAAGTAAAAAAAGCAAAGTTTTTTAGAATCCTTTGAAGGAGTCATGATAAATAAATACATGACTATGACTAAGCCACAATTTTTAAATATTAATGGAAATATTCTATTTTTTAATAATATGTAATTTGTATTTTATTTTTTTTTTTATATTATTATTATTATTATTATTTTTTTGTGGATAACTTTTTATTTTTTCTAGGTAAAAATTAGGAGATGTTTATAATATCAATTTAAGATATATAAATACTCTATATATATTATGTATATATGGAGTATATGGGGTTTTCTTATAGTTTGAACTTTTTATGTTGGTTCAATTTGCTTGTTAACTGATTCATGGCATACATATATATACACACACACTTTTACATATATGTACATACATATGTAAACAAATATCACTCGCAATCTCTCTACTCACATTCGCATCGAATTTGCTGTGATCGATCAGCTGTTGCTGCTGCTGCTGCTGCGTCTGCTGTGCGGTGTCCAGTGCGTTCAGCTCTTGGACCAGTTGCTGTTTGAGTTCGTTGACCTCCTCGCCGCCGCTTGACTGCTCGGCCAAGACCTCCAGCATGAGCTCGTCCACGGGCGCCTGCTGCCAATCGGAGTGCCATATTTCCATGTGCTCGGCGAACTCGTCCAGGGCACAGAGTGGACGCTCCTCGCACAGTTCACACTCGATGCCGTATAGCTCACCGGCGCAGTTCCAGGTGTAGACAGTGCCGCATCGCTGACGCGGCTCCTCAGCTGCAACAGCAACTGATGGAGTCATCGATTGCTGGCCCCAATTCCTATTGTTATGGCTGTTATCAATGTAGTTCTTATTGTTGTTGTTATTATCGCTGTTGGCCAACTAAATTTACTGTCACTTTTTAAGCCAGCTTGCGATTCGGCGCACTTGTTGCTTAGCGTTTGCGACTGCGCAGCTTCTTCGCCTCTGACTATGTGAAAAATGACAACAGCCAAAGAGCCAAAGAGCCAAAGAGCCAAAGAGCTAAAGACTCGGGCCAACAAACCCGTTGCGGGCCATCTCGCACATACACACACACACACTCACACACACACATAGATATACACATACCCACACGTAGACAGCGTCGTACATGCCATTCTTTGTTGCTGGGGCAACAAAATATGTATGCACACGTATATATGTATACACACACACACTCGCATACACATACATATCTAAAACAAAATAACAAACTTGGCTTTTGGTTTTGGTTCGCTTTGCTGGTTGCCTGCTTTGCTTTGCGTTTTCTCTTTGCAAGTGCCGCTTGTGTGCACGTGTGTGTGTGTGTGTGTGTGTAAGTGCGCGCGGGCAACAGGTAAATGTAAGCGGGCAAGCATGCACATGGCCCGACTGCCAAATGCCCTATGAATATACAGTTTGACACAAAAGTGTTTTCACATGGGAAAAAAATTATAATTTTGTTCTTTAAAATTAAAAAATAAAATTGGTGTGAGGTTTCACTATTTATTTTTTAATTGTAGTTTGTTTTTTAAATTGTTGTCTTATAAAAACAATTAATTAAAATAAAAAAACTATTAACATAGGCATAAATAACAACTGATAACATACTGTACATACGTATCTTAAACTAGATTGAAAATTTGATATATATACATACGTCACCTAATATTAGCTTCTCTAAACATCATATTACCGATATATGTATATATATATTACTTCAAGTAGCTAAATGCTTCCAGTTATAGTTTGAAGGCATACAAAAATATTTAAGCATCACATATTATAGCTGAGGCAGACATTTGTTAGTGCAGCATACCCGGCCACACACATGCCTCAAATACCTGCACAGGGTATTCGAGAAAAACGTAAACATGACAACGCAACAGCTGAGTGAGAGGCAGAGTCCAAACAATTGAAGCCACTGTGCGGCTGCGCGCATTGCTCACACGCGTGTAAATGTGTGGGTGTCTATGTGTATGTGTGCACCTTGGGAACCGGAGCACTTATTTACATTTAAATACATATACATATATTGTATGTATGTATATTAACTAAACTCATTGTTGCTGGCCAATTGTTTGTTAGCTCTTGGCTGAGCTTCTTGTGTGTTCCATTCTGAAATGTCATCGCAATGAGAGAATGGGGGTGTGTGAGCCAGGGCTGGCAAGCACTGACTGAGCAACATACATACATACATATGTGTATGTATATTGCGTTGTTATATACATACATATTTATAAACCAATCTTTAACAGAAGAATGTTAATTAACGTTAAGAAAGAACCAGTAACCTGTTTGCATAGCAAAAATCAAAAATAAGAAAAAATAACATAATTGAAACAATGCTTAATCATCGTGCAAAAGGACTGTGTCATGCCCTGGTTGTTGACAATGAGGATACTTCAAATAATAATAAGCACGCGCACGCATACGCACACATGCATTCGATATATGGTTGTGTGTGAGAGTAATAGATATTAACCGGTAGACTTAACGAAACACTTCGGATTCTTGAGCGCTCTTGTCTGCTTCTCATGCTCTCACACTCTCCTTTTGTTCGATGCACGTCGGGCCTGCCAGACCCAACTGCATGGTCGTGCCTATGTGTTTGTGTAAACTTAACGAAACACGTAACATTCTTGAGCGCTCTCACTCTTTCTCTCTCCCTAACTGTTTATGGTCGACCAGCAACACTCCCAGTTATAGCAATTTGACGTCACGATCGCTACTAGTCAGCGAGGCATGAGAAGGTTGTGCGCTTTAAAAGTGATACGAGTTTCCCCATGCGGAAATTCAGAATTTATTTGCAAATAATAAAACCAGATATCCATACATCTGGGACCCAAATAAGGGCTATATGATTTCGCATTGGCTTCGTCGTGTCACTATAATTATAATTATTATTATTTTGCCACTGGAGACCGGTTCCAGTGAGCTCCAAAAACCAGACCTCGAGACAAATTGCATGAAAATGGAAAATGTGCGCGCGTGCAATGGCAATAAAATGCTTTGGGGGCCAAGCAGTACGGAAAAACTGAAACAGAGCAAAACAAAGGCAACAAAAGAGGAAAAAAAGCGATGGAAAAATAATGACTAGGAAATGAGCCAATTCAAGTCGAACTCTGCATGCTCTTTGAATATAATTGTATAGTATTTAAGATGCGCCCAATGAAATGTTCGGGACTATTTTAAAATAATATATTTTTGTTACAGAGTAAAATACAATATATTGAAAATATATCTAATTGGTTTCTGTATGTATAGAATATAGTTTGGAGTTTATTTTGGACAGAGTAAATTCATTTATTAAAGCACGTACACTGAGAGAAAAAATTATTTAAAAAATTTAATGAATATTAATAGAAAACATTCACAGAACAGTTTGGAGACTTTGTTCGCAATATCTGAAACTTTAAAATCGTTTTACAAATATTTGTAAAATTTATTTAAAAAAAAAAAATTATTATTATTATTATACATATGATCATAGAAGTATCACGATAATAAATATAAATTTTTTTAGATAATATTTTTATTGTTCGATCATTAAGAATTTCATTACTAAGTTTGTTGTTATGATAAACTAGACACAGTCGAGTCTCGGTCATTCGTACCCCGCTAAATCGAAGATCGCGATAAATCGAAAAAATTCTATTTCCTTGAAAGAAATTCAATAACTCTAGATAATTTGAATTCCAGTGTAAATTGCAAAAAAACTGATCCACTTGCCATTTCGAATTATCGGGATTCTACTGTATATATGTTTTTATATTTTGAATTTCTCTCAGTGTAGCAACTGAAGCGAAGTTTAAGGGAATATTCAGTGTAAGCGCAAGATAAACACGGCCCAAGGGAGCTTTGGCTGCAACTTTCGCGCTGTCAACTGATTGTGTGAGTGTGTGTGTATGTCTGTGTGTGTTGTTGTTGTGTGTATGTGCCTGTGTGCATGTGTAAATAAACAAAACGCATGTGGCAAACGTACACACACACATTTACATTAGCCGCTGGCCATGTTTAAAAGCATGAAACATGGCACTGCAGCTGGCCTTGCCCAACACACGCATACAGACTCACACACACACTAACAATAGCAGCACACACACACACACACACACATCACGCACACTTGCAAATACAACTGGCAGACACGTTGACTTTCCGCCGTAGCCCCAGAAAAAGTTGATCCTTTGTAAAAGCATGTGTCCAAAAAATCCCTTACCTCTGCCTTCTGACTGTGCTACTGCCTCATCTAACTGTACCCAATAGGTTTACCATGTGACGTCATGTGTCCCCATCAGAAACTGTAATTCCGGCAAATAAAACGGAAAATGCAAACAAAAGCCAACAAAATGATGAAGTGCAAGCGAAATATTACCAACAAAAAAAAAAAAAAAAAAAAGAGAAAGCCAGGAAAAAAGATTTGTTTATATATGTATATCATATAATATATGTGCACACATACACATACAGACATATATCACATATGAACAAATTGTTTATGAAGTAAAACCGCAGCGGAAAAATGGAAGAGCAAAATATCACACTAACAGGAAGAGAACGTATGGGCGTTGGGCGGGGTCAACTGAAAATTCTGTATGTATATATAGAAAGAAGAATATATGTACATTATATATCCTCTGTATTTGCTAACTCTTCACTCTGTAATCATATGTTTTTGTTTTGCTTTCCGTACGAAAATCAGTGTAATTTGCCACACCCTCTTTCTTGTGACTTACGGCTAACTGTATAATTACTCTTTGTTCAATTGACGACGGTAAAAAGTGCGAAAAGGGGGACTAAATTAATGGGATCGACAAGCGATTTGATGGAAATGGAGAAAAACAAGTTGAAGTTGAAGAAAACAATCCGCATGACGTGTTGAATACCCTTTAAACAAAAGTCAATAGTAAACATACTATGATATCCATTGATATGATAGGAAGAGGTTCAACTTTTTTACTTTTAAGTGAAAATTATAAAGTTCTTATATAAATTTAAAAGTATATTGTATATTAATACATATATCAATACAATGCAGATCAAACCAAGCACACGCCAAATTTGAACGCTCTTGCTACCATATGGACTGAGTTCCTTGGGTCTCTTGCGTAGTATGGGTAAGTTGGGCACATAGCGCACCCCGTGTATATGTGAAACTGATCTGTTAAGAGCTGCCTGCCACAGTTGCCAACATTTGCGGAACTTAATGTGTCCATATCTCAAACTTTTTTTGCATGTTCTTTTTTCTGGTTTCTTTTTCTACAGGGTATAAAAAATGGCTTGAACTTTTGCCAAAAAATGAAGAGAAGGAGAGTTTTTTTGGCAAATTGTGACGCCTCGTTGTGTATGTGTGTTGTGTGTGTTTTTTTTCACTTTTGTATCTTTTGGACAGCAAACCAGGAAGCTGCCAACAAAAGAACCAATCCTCTCTCCCCAACTCCTCTCTCGTTCCCTTTCCCTCACGCTACTACAATGGCGCTGCTTGCCACAATATATGGCCGCACATTATTCAAAGGACTTGCTTTCTTATAGTTGTTGTTGTTGCTGTTACTGCTGCTGTTGTCGCACATTGCGCTTGGTAAAACAAGCGCGAAAACATAATGAGCATATAAATAGACAAACAATCACCGGCAAACAAGCAGCAGCAACAACAACAACAACAAATAGCAAACAACCGTCCAGACAGCAGCCCGCAGCAACAACAGCAGCTTTACCATAGCTACAACAACAATAACAATAACAGCCGCCATTTGCTACGTGCGCCTACTAGTCTCTCTCTTGCTCTCTCACTCTCTCTCTCTCTCTCTCTCTCTCTCACTGACTCCTTTCGTCTCCCTAGCCGACATCAACCAACCAAAAAAAACCACACGCTGCAATCATTCAACGATTGCAGCCAATTCACCACAGTTAAGCTCACCACTATCGTGTTGAATAGCCATCGGCTTTTGCATAGCAGCACGATTCATGTCCTATTCAGTAGGCAGGCAGCGCAGCTGCTGAGGACATCATGG